GTGGAAGCTAAATCGAGAATAGCACCCAAAAGCAAGGAAACGATACCGCGTCTCGAATTACTGGCTGCTTCCATTGGAGCGCGGATGATGCATTCTTTCGACAAGGCAATGGATTATCGAGATATTAAAAGATATTTTTGGAGCGATTCGACTACTGTTCTAGCATGGATACGACAGACAAAGCAATGGGCGGTATTCGTGTGGAATCGCGTTCAAGAAATAAGAAGTATCACAAATGTCGAGTCTTGGAGATATGTGCCGGGGGTTATGAATCCTGCGGATTTACCTTCACGAGGATGTGATGCCAAGAAATTACTCGAGTCAAGATGGTGGGAGGGGCCCGAATGGCTAAAGCTGCCCCCGGAAGAATGGCCGTCCAAAGAAGAAGAGATTAACGAAGAGATAGTCAATATAGAGCTACGTAAAACTTCCAGGCGACTTAAAGAAGAGACTCCTCCTAAAGCTACGACAGAAGGGATCGCTATGATTGCTGATGAAAAAGACGTCCCTTTGTACTTGGAAAGATTTTCAAGCTACGCAAAGATCTTACGAATGATAGCATGGGTGTTAAGATTTACTAATAATTCCCGAAGAATCCACGCATCAGTCGGAGGAGAGTTAAGCGCGAAAGAAATCAGTACAGCAGAATTACTCCTCTGTAAATTAGCTCAGAAAGAATCATGGGAGTAAACGATCCACGGCTGCGAGGATTGAACGTCTTCGAAGAAAAGGGAATTATGCGTATTAAAACAGCAATTTCTAATCGTCAAGACACTTTCTGTTTCAGATATCCTATAGTGTTGGATTCAAAGCACTTATCGACGAGGAGAGTTATCCTGTATACTCATTTGAAACTCAATCACGCTGGAACCGAGATTGTAATGAACAATCTACGGGAGAAGGTTTGGATTCTTCGGTACCGACGAACGGTGCGTTCCATCGTTCACAAGTGTACGGCTTGCCGTCGACACGCAGCGAGGAACATGGAAGCGCCATTTACACCGCTGCCAGAAAATAGAGTAATGTATCCGAAATGCCCGGGATGCCCGCTTAGAATAATTGTAAGCTGCATCAATAGTCCTTTTTACAATTTAGCCGGTTTCTTCAAAGAAATCATTAAAAAAAGTTTTAACAACAAAGAAAATTTCGGATACATTAAAAACAGTTACGAGTTAGAACAAAAAAATTAATGGTCTACCTTTGTCTGATGAGTATCGAATAGTTTCGTTTGACATCTCGTCTATGTACTCCAACATTCCGAACGAATTAGCTTTAAGGAGTGTTTTAAGCAGATGGAACTTGATTGAGAAGAATACTTCTATCCCCTTTCAAGAATTTAAAAGAGCCATTTCCATAATTTTAAATTCCACCTTTTTTAAGTTCAATGACGAATTTTACGAATAAATTTTCGATTTGCCCATGGGATCGCCTCTATCACCAATTTTAGCAGACTTGATAATTCAAGACTTGGAACATAATATTTTCAATACACTCACCACACACATACCTTTGTATTATCGTTATGTGGATGATATCTTGCTTGCAGCTCCTACTAATCTAATTACTAACATCTTGGATTCCTTCAATTCTTACCACGAACGCATAAAATTTACGGTTGATTATGGCGATGAATTTGGTATCAATTTTTTGGATATAAAACTTTTGTACGATAAAGGTAGTATTATTTTCGGCTTGTACAAAAAGTCTACTAACTCTGGGAGATTTCTCAATTTTTCCAATCACCCTACCATACACAAAGAAAGTGTCGTAATTGGGTTATTTGACAAGATTCTATTTCTATCCCATCCAAAATTCCATCACACTGACATCGATTCCTTAATTAACACTCTCCTCCGCAAAGGGTATCCATTACAATTTTTATTTAAAACGATAAAAAATAGAATAAAAACGCTATCCAGAAAAAAGAATTTCGATGCCATAAATGAACATAATCTTAACTATAACTTGAACACTTCTGAAAAGAAAAAATATTTCACTATCTCTTATTTAAATAAAACATCTGAGAAATTCAACATAGCTCTTAAAAAATTTCAATTCGATTTGGTATACAAACCGATGAATAACTTAAACAGGTTCATAAAAACGGGAAAAGACAAAATAAAAAAAGATGAACTTTCGAACGTCGTATATCAAATTAATTGCAAGGACTGTAATTATTCGTATGTTGGTCAGACGAAAAGGAAATTAAAGACGCGGTTAAAAGAATATATAAATGATTTTAAAAAACCTGTCAATTCCTTCTCAGTCATCTCAAATCACAGAATTGAAACGGATCACGCGATAGATTGAGTTAATACTAAAATATTAGATTCTGAACGCTCGCACTATAAAAGATTGGTATCTGAAATGATTTACATTAAAACGCAAAAAAATGGATTAAATAAACAGAGTGATATCGAGCGATTTCCAGATCTTTACCTCCCTCTCCTTGAAAAAGAATTCTAGCCCCACTCTAAAATCTTTCATTTCCTTTTCCTTTTTCTTACCCTTCCCCTTTTTTTCCTTCGTTTCTACTATGTATAAATAGACTAGCACTTTTGGGCTTTTGGCATTACGGTAGTTAAAATTCACTTTAAAAATTATCACAGTGTTCAGTTATATGGAGGAGTTCCCGCACCACAGGATACACGTAAGTTTATTAAATTCGTTCTAAAGATATAAGAAAAAAGGTCTTTAAATAGCTTTCGTTTTAAATCTAAACTTTAACATATTTAGTAAATTAATTGCTTTTTATATAAAAATATGATAATAACTTATTGAATTCACTTATTGAATTAATTTTTGTTTTACAACTCGGTACTTGCGTGTCTCTTTGTGTGCGGCTCGTCGGTATTTAATTGAAGAATTAATTATATTAATGAAGAAAAAAGAAAAAACCTTTGTAACTAAACTCTTTCTATCCATACATTGTGACTACTATTAACCTTTATCGTAAACCAATTAGATCGATTGCGAATAATTTCGTATAATAAGGAAATAACAAAATTTGTACAGGCTATTGTTACAATTATCGAATTTTGTATTTAGTTTAATTTTAAACGTTTCAAATTTATCTTAAACCACTTAGATCGATTGCGAATAATTCCGTATAATAAGAAAATAATAAATTCTGTACTATCTATCATTATAGTTATTAGTAAAATTGTGTATTTAGTTCAATTTTTAACGTATTTATTGTACTGAAGAGGGTCAAATCTTGACCGAAACGTCTACCATTGTTATGAATTGTTTTTAAATAATATATAACTTATTTACATCCTTAGTTGTGGCTGTATGCTCTTTATTATTTAACCTTTGTAAAAGTATTCTGTTACTAATATTATAAGGAACTATTATTCATAATAATATATTTATAACTTTATTATTCATATATTATGAATAATAAACTAATATATTTTATGTCGGAAAATGGCGAAAAAATGGTTTAAATTTTTTTTTGGTATGTTTCACCAAATCTAAAAATCTGAAAAAAATCACGAGTATAATTTATGATAATATTTAACTGCTGAATTATTTTTAAAGTGGTAAAACGTTTATATCATATAAAAAATGCAATTTTAAAAATTCTTAAATTTTTTAAAAGCAGAATTTTGAGCCAAGAATGACAAAAAAATTCTTACTCTAATCTTTTTGATACCCTTTATATCTATGATTTTTTAAATAAAAATCCGTTTATATTTCACGAAGAAAAAAAATACTAAAAAATCACATTTTGTTCGATATCTCGAAACGGTGTGGCTCTTTTGGGATGAAAATGCACAAAATATTTTTTTATCAGTGTGTTAATTTTGTCCCTTGTAGCAATCGATTACGTGCTGGGGCGTAAAATCATCTCCTTATCCTGCTATACTCTTTAAGAACGTAACGGAGCACATGAATCTTCAATATTAATCTTTGTTATCGTAGTTTTCATAAATTGGAGAGCATTCTCAGCAAACACAAATACATCTCAAACTCGTAACTCATATATAATTTTAATTTTTTGGATCGTAACAGTAATGTCAAAAGTTACGTGAATTTGCGGAGAATGTTCTTAAATTTGTCGTCCTATTTTACCTATAGTAGTTACATAACAGATTTAAATATGAAAACGGCGACAGGATTGACATATAATAATTATGTATTGAGATGAAATGTATGTATAACATATAGGCGATTGTTTAGACAAAGTACAAATTGCGTACAAACTGACGTCTTTACCAGTCGATACACGCTTCGTAATTCGTGACGACGTCGTCATTATTATTTGGCGACACTCGATGTCGCGGCGGAAGAATAGCCCGCGACAACTTTCGGCGATCGACCGAATCACTCGATTCGGGACGATCGGCCGTTTCCGTCTTGTCGGCAGAAGCTCGGTGCCTACCGTAAAGACAAGCTCGGTACCTTCCGTAAAGCGGGCCACGTTTCGCGCTCCACGAACACGGAAGCTCTCACAGGGCACGCGGCCATTGTTAACAAGGCAAGTCGAACTAACGCAAGCAACGCTTCGGTTCGACAAGACATTGGATCCTCGCACGATACGCGTTCGCGAAGTGCACGAAGAAATAAGACAACGACATCGGAGCTAATCTCCGCCGGACAATTTCTCCGCAAGTGCACCGCGCGTGGCGACTGATCACGTGTAACGCCGGTGCTCCGCGCGTGGACACCGAACACGAGTGTATCTATTGTGCAACTAGTAAAACCTTGTTCAACAAATAAGTGGTGTCAATTCCGCGTGGACCAAACTCAATTCATCGCATCCTGCAATCTCTTTCCTTTCCTTCCGTTATTTCTCGTTACGAGATATTCGCAATCCAGCTCCGTTGGTTACAGTTCTTGCCTACTTCTTGCATCAAAGATTGCAAGG